TTAGCCAATGTCCAAAAACGGAGCCTACGAGCGTAGGTAAACCACTTTGCTTTTATGATAGGCCTAATTTTGAATAAGAATTGTAGCTAAACCTAAGATGGAAATGTGGCAAAATTTGTTAATGTGATGTTGGCAATTTTGCTTTTAACTGAGATACAAAAGTGAAAATCAATACGTGCCGACTTCATGCAGAGTACATGTACATGTCGGTGTGTGTATTACTGGGCTATAGGCTGCAATACCAAGGTCAAGCTTAATTGCTTTAGTCCTGTCGTCCAACCTTTTCCATGATACTTGAAGACCTCACTCCATATCTCTTCAATTAAAGGTTAGGTTTTTAAATTGTTTCTGATATGATGGAATACTTATGCGTGGAAACATTGCGATGATAAATCCCTCTATCACGCAAACCCGACAATGAATAAAACACTTGCAAGTACAGACGTTAACTTTAACAAAATAAAATTAACGGTGTCCAGATATACTCCAAAATCATTGGTAAGCTATGCCATGGTGAACATGAAAAAAAAGGGAGAAAAGTTAACCTTCATGAGGAGTAAATCACAAAATGCTACACTCCAGCTGCCATCCTTCAGACACAGGGTCTAGGTAATGAATGCCAAAAATCTTTTTTCCCAATTGCGAATGTTACCGCAGGACCGTTCCACTGGGCACACGCAATCTCCAACCCATGTTCTCATGTCCTGACGGAATTCTGCACTTTGGGACTCAACCATTCCCCCATGCAATGACCCCATCACGAAGGAGATGTAACAATTTTACATGCAGTCTTTTGAAGGAAAAATAAGCCAAAGTGGCAAAATATCGAGTTATCCTGACAATTAAAAAAAAAGAAGGCAGTGGATATTTGAGAGGGATGCAGCTCAAATTTTGCTCGTGCTGTTGAGCCGGGAAGGCAACGGATCATGGGCAGTGTTAATTTTGGAGACTTACACATTTTATTGTGAAGACTGTTTGGTTGGTGGTACATGTATGCCTACATGTAGGCTTACATTTCCATTATAAATTCACATTCGTGAGATGGAATTCAGGCATGCCTACAAGTAGGCCTATAGTCCTGACAGTGCAACGGGAGTGGGACAGAAACCAGACCCCACAGTCCCACGGCGCACTCACACTAAGAATCTGAGTTTGTTGACTGGACATCACTGTAAGGCATCATCATCCAGTGTGACTAAATGCTAGTGCCATCCAAATGGGAATTGAGCAATTCATATGGACAGTTCAATCATGGCAACGCCAACGGTTTAGAAAAATCTGTGACCGGATGACATGGACAAAGGCAAAATACACTCTTAAAAAAGAAGATGTACGTTAAACAAATTGGTGTCAGTAATTAGGCCCTAGCTATGTGCATGACAAGTAACTTGTAAGTAGTGTCCTGACTAAGACTGGGGCATTGCATTTGTTTGACAGTGTGTGAGGTGGACAAGATAGCCAACATCATTTGGCCATGTTTGCCAGTTTGCTTGATCTTGATAAATAGTCACTGATCAGTTCCTATTGAAGCAACACTCAGCCAAGGAACAAGAAAAACATTTTGTAGGGCCTAGGGTATCATGTTATAAATGAACACCAAACCAAGGGGTTTATTAACACCAGAGCGCCACTGGGTTACAATACAAGGTAGGTTTTATGTACATGCAGGCCTACTTACAACAAGGTGTACGCATGGTCAAAAACGTTACGGAAACGTTTAAACGTACACGTATCATAAAGGCTAAATACACTAACTTACTGGACTAACAATAGGTACGTACACCATGTACACCATGCATGTACATCACCGTATATACACGCCTAGCCTGACCGTGACACGTTTTGCGAGCTGCGTGAAATGTCACCTCTAAATCAGTCCTAATACAACATGACATAATAGAACTTCAGTTCCTTATTCTAGATGTTAGCTTACCTACTCCAACAAATATGAACTCTAAAGCTGAAAACTACCCGGCTCACATTGTACGGTCATGGATGCCGCCATGTCTTACAGACTGATTACAGAGCTGTTTACAGAGGGCGCTCTCACAAGATCGTGCACTTGTGCTGCACTTGTTTGCAAACTAGGGCATGTATATAATGTGGATCTGGATGCATTTATACTCCAATAGAGCAGATAGACTGCATCACACATGATAAGAGTGTATGGGAGGAATAATCCATTTTCCCCCCATCTTTTATTTTCAATGAAACGATATTTTGTTGGATCCTGTAAACCCATCTACAATTAAGGGGGGAACTATGATCTATCTACAAGGTACAGATGAGACCGTCCGTTTGGGTCGGGGTGGCAGGACCACTGTTTTTCTTTTCTTCTTTTTTTAATATAAAATTTTAATAAAGTGAAAACGCACTCTATATTGATATGATAATGAGCTATTTCCTTTACAAAGCCCGCCATTAATCAATTAATTAAAACTATATATGTCATGATTCGGTAATTCCACTGGAGTGTGTCTCCATACAGTCGTCGTACCCTTTGTTGCCAGAGACAAAAATCGATCAACACGGGTAAAATACGGTTGAGCATGCTTCCCTGACAGATCGCCGCGGTTATTGGCATAATTGCCACAGCATAACAGTTACGAGAGGCCTGTGTACGTCTTGTCCAGCCATTGAGCACACGGCTAAGTATATTTCTAAACGAGCAAAGCCAATACGTCACATAATCGATTAACCTTTTCACTGAACCTATTCCACAGCGTTATAACTCTCATCGGGCGGTAGTCTCGCAAAGTACTGCACATTCCAGGCCGGTTCTTAAAAAAAGGAGACGAGCTTCTTGTAAGAAAAGTTCTGTATGCTGTCGTGAAATTTGAACAGTTGATTTTGTGACGACAACTGCAATGCCGCAGCATCTATTAATGTCCGGGAAAAAACGAGCCTCCCCACTTGCGAGAGGGAGTTCTGAGTTGTCGGCATTCTCTGTATTCTGCGGTTGTCAACGTCCTGACAGTATCGGGAGGTAAGTGACTGACGTCAATTCAATGAGACCATGCACTCTGAGGGGTCCCGTTAATTAACGCCATAAACTTTTATAGCTTTCGTTGACGCGATGGACAGTAGAGCAAGTTATGACACTAACCCGAGGGTGGGATTGCATTTTTGTTCCCCAAGTAGAAAACAAAATTCCTCTGACTTTTTGTCTTTACCTCACTGGGGAAGCAACTTGGACTTGAAAAAGGGAACAACTGCCAAACATTGGGTTAATTGCTGAGGCTCTTGCGTTAACTTACATTGAATGTGATGAAACTGTTCATCCAAAAGGTCATCCCGGCACATTTTATATACTGTTAGTAGACAGCTCCTCAGTTTCTTATATTTACGTTAAATCCAACTGAACGCGTCACTTTCCCCCTGTTTGTTCTTTACCTGTCTTTTTGTCAGTTGGAAGAGGTAACAAAATAAGCCATCTTTGCCTAGTTAAATGAAAAGACGTTTCGGAAATGTCCAGCTCAGTGTCCAGTGCGGAGCGGCACATTTGGAGCTAGGTGCTGTCCCAAAACGAAGCATCCACATCCAATTCTTAGGGGGAAATATGTAAATATTTTTGCATTCTGTTGGTCAAGGTGGTTTGAACGAAAGTTGCGTTTCTTTGTATTGGGGAGATTTTAAAAAAAAAGAAGAGTGCATTGTATTTTGCGATCATGTTTAAATTGCATGGCGTGTTCGCACAGTTTGGAGAAACAGCTTCATGACTGTGATTAGCAGATCACGGATTGTTTGGAACAATTTCAAAAGGTACACAAAGGTATGTCCAAAAGGGCAAACGAGGCCATGCTCCCCCCCCCAAAAAAAAATTACTATAAAAAGTTACAATGAGATATGAAAAATATATTATGTGATATTTGTGCTACATTTAAGTTTTTCCTCCTGCAAGGCGGTAAACAGCCCAAAAGTGTAGCCTCAGCTCCAAGAAATGCCATAAAAGGTCACATGGAAAAAAATTCCAAAATGCCTGTCCCTCCCCTCGAAAAAAAAAACAAGTTTGGCCCCTGTAAATTTGCTACTGGCTCTCACCTTGCCGATACACAGACCCTTTTCATGGAAATAACATTAACTTTTAATCAGCAGCGGTAAAAGCAAGATAATCCACCATGACATCCAACCAATGAGAAAGAGCGAAGGACACATGCAGGCTGGCGCCGTGAATACGAAATCACTGGGGTTATTGATGAGTGACTCGGGCAAATTAAAAAAAATACATGCAGCGCCAAAAGCGCCCGAGTCACTACTGAAATTGTGTTGGAAAACAAAGCGCCGGAAAACGCGCCTGGCCACAAGGCCCCAGCTACGCGCCTACCCTGATGTCACGATCCTTTTCACTTCGGTGTAGAGGGTAGTGCATGTCGAGGTACGCTAAGTATGGTATAAAACTCGGGGCAAAATTCTGATAACGGAGAGATAATTCTCGAAAGAGAAGATCCCCGTTTTCCATGATCCAGGCAGGCAATGATCAAGTTGGTGTCGTACAGACAGACGCGATGGGGAGGGGCTTAGAGATTCCAGCCCCCCCCCCCGATAAAGGGGTAAAGGTTGTAGACAACAAAAAGATACAAACACAACAGCAGAAGAATACAGAAGTCACATTTATTTTACTGTAAAACACAGTCATATAGGGTACGACACAGTGTTAAATTTTTCCGTCCCTGTTCACCCCCTAGAGAGACTACTATTTCAGTTCGAAAGCTTTTAATCGCACTAACATTAAACGTAAGATAGCATCGATATTTTTCGAAAAAAAAACGTGGACCCAAGGAAAAAATAAAATTCTCCTTAATAATGTCACTATTTTATAATCCTTCCGGGTTTTGATTCATATCTGTTTTAGCCTTGCATGGTTTGATTTCCCTTCTAATTATGTTATAAAAATTCACATCCAATATTACAAGGTGAACCTGCGCTATCAATGTTTATTTCACGACCTTTTTGGTGCGTTTTCCCGTCTCCTTGCTGCATTGCTCCACGCCGTAAATCTTTTATGAGTAAGCAGAACAGCATCTGAGCTACAGCTGACCCGTTACATAATTGATTACAAAAATTAATATAATTTTGGCAACGTTCGTCGTTGCCACAGTAACGGTCTATGTACAAAACAGTGTGCCCAAGGTTTGCAATTTCAACAAGGATTCTCTCTTGATGTTAAGACCACATGTTAAGACTACCAGTATCGATTTTTCATTAACGACCAGTGACGTTAACGATGAGATTATTCGAAACATCCAGTAAGTATTGACCGAAAGTGCACGTGTAAATTAGAGTAAGTGTTGTGTTGGGAATGGGATAACCGGTTTCGATCATTGTTCGTTGTGAAACCTCGCGATTTTTCAGCTATTGTACCGTTTGGCGACGGGTTTTCTGATAAAAGGCTTTTTTCACAGGCTGCAGAACTGTCGACAACAGTGCTCGTAAATATATTGGGCGTCGCCCAGAAAACGCAACCCAAAAGGAACATTTATTTTCTCCAAAAATAATCATCACATAGTGTTGTTTTGGTATCATATTAAGCTAATAGTGTTTTCCACTTATACTGAAAGATTCATTTGAAGTTTGTGTTACTTTGCGGACATATTTTCAATTGTGCAACACAACTTATCTTTTTGGTTCTATCCAATAGACGTTTTACCTTGCAGGTGTATAATCAAGCAATCACCGAATTCAAATCATAAATTGAACCTAAAGGTTCAATTTAACATTTTGGGAGGAAATAGATGTTACTTTTGGGATACATTTTTGGGGGAACACCCTGTTGAAATTTTAACAGAAATTATGCCCGGGATCGCTACTTGAATGTAGCATGTTTATCAAATGCAACGATCACCGTTTCTGCAGCCCATGTTTTCCAGCTTCTCGCTGGCAACGTTACACAGTACATAGTAATTAAGACCAACAGCCATGGCACACCGGCCACCTCGTACAAGACTGTTCCAGGCAGTGGCGTCCTAGCTCCACCCATTTTTTAATGCACACCACTGCGCGCTTTTTGATGTGGCACGCGTTATCTTCATGATATAGATCTACCTGTGACGTCAAGGTATTATTTCGCCACTCCGTTTAAGTTTTGCGCGAATGGGAGAGGAGGCATTTTTTCTTCAATATTTGCGAAGGCGTTGTCTCCACGAATCAATGCATATTGATATTAATCACTGAACAGTAAAATTTGGACATTAATTTAATATGTGTCCTCTGCAGTATTTTCGCCTCTTGGGAGGACACAGCTTTTCTTGGTTTATTACTTCATTCAATAAAATCTTTTACACAACACGAATCGATAATGGATCTTTTTGTATTAAATGAATAATGACATGTTATTTCAAACGGCTTCCAGAATCTGATGAATGATTTAGAAACGATGGCTCTGAAAATTAGACATCCGTAATGTTTTCTTTAATGTAAAACATTAACCTTCTTAGAAAAGACACAGAATGCATTTGTGGCTGTTTTTCCATAGAATTACTGAAACGATGAGCTTTGTAGGCCTATGTGTTTTAACCAAAAGACATTTAGGAAAGAGTTCCATATACAGACAATACTTAAGGCCTTGTGCGCAGACCTATGGGACTTGTCTGAAAAAACTAAAAGTGTTTTCTATGTACTTTTAGGACATGTTATCACTCTCCGACGGCTGTTATAACATTTTAAGGGAAATTATAGTGTTGTCCGTAAATGGGCCTCTTTCTGAAATGTGAGCCGTTTCTAAACTGAGCTGAGCAGTGGCCAACCTTGACTGCTATTCTTTCATGCTATTTTTTTCCTGAGGAATTATTTCAGTTTCCTTTGGCTGAGTGAATTTTATTGAATAACGGTACTCTAGTGAAAAAACCCTTAATGATAAACAATGGTTATTTGCACTACTTTTTACCTTTTTGTTGGGTTCATTCTTGCTATCTCCTTATCTCCAGTCAGATTAAATGACGTTTTCGTCGAGGGCAAGTGGTACTGTCAATACACTGTGTATAATTCACCAGAACTTATGGGCTGACAAATACACTTTTCTAATTTTTGTGTAGGGAGCATGTTGCATCAGTGTGGTACTTGTCGCATCTTGCAACCGAATTAAACAAATTTTGTGTCACACTCTCACCCTGACGGATCTATCCGTTGGCACAGCCCGCCGTCTTGCTCTACATTGGCTTATGCTTACCAGCGAATGAGTTACGTAACAATAAATTGCTTGTCTGCCTATTAAGAATGTCGCCCCCGAGATAGAAAACGAAGGAGTGGTGAAAACAATAACACGGCGTCAAAGAAAACGGTTAAGTCTCATAATACCTTTGGCACCTTTGACGTCATTCTTCACGGAGTTTTCGCTCTGCTGCAGGGCCCAGCATTCCATTTCAAGGAACGCTTTTTCTTATCTGGACAATAGCGTGTACCATTCTATTTCTACAAATGGCTTTTCTGCCATTGCGGTAGGCATGTCAGCGAAAAATTTGAAAAATTTGAGGACAAACGAAATGCTCAGATGGAACTGAAAAGAATGTTATTACGAGTTTATGCACGTGAATAAATTATTAAAGCCCTCATTATCAAGGCGGGTGTAGCCTGTAGTTAAAAAACGTGTATCTACACCATACCGTCACAAACATTTAGCTAAACATTGGCAGTCGACAGATTGCAGCCTTGCGTGCGTGTAATAAACAGTAGGCGACGGCCTTTTCTGGGATTTCATCGGACAGAATACGCCCAAAGTAGAGATAAATTAATATATTCTCAAACAACCAAGAGCCTGAATTATTGCCTGAATTTGATGTTCATAATATTTTCATGTATTAAATTTTTTGAAAATAGGGTATATTTCATACGATGGTCTGTAATGATGCATTCCTTATAGGTTGGGAGCCCAAAATAGTGTCGGTCGAAAATGAGAACCACGGACCAAACAGCCCGCACCATTTTGATATCCTAACTGGTAATTATTATTTGTCAGGTACAAAATCACAGACAGCTTGAAGAAGTCCACAAAAGATAAACAAATCAATAAATCCTAGTTCCGTGATGCATGCGAAATGTTTTGGTATAAGATGGCAGGCAAGTTCGAGAAAAAACATGTTGCTCACTAAAGCATGCCTTACAGGAATAAATGCATTCGGAAACGTCACTTTTGGCTTGGTTTAATGGGACAGAGGAGTTTAGTTAGATATAGTTTGTCTTAAGGGGCTTGGAACTTCCTCTGTAAGTTGGAAATGGTACCATTATGATATCGCGGTCACGTTTTCTTTTACTTTCATACATTTTTGACTGTTGAAAAGAATGAATGTCCAGACTTGTGTCATTTTTTTAAGTTTCGAATGTACATCTCATTAACTTTGGTGTAGCAAATCACAATAATTCACACAAAACACGACACGAGTATTTATTTTCCCTCTTTTTATTCTCTAATAAATTGCAGAGGTATGTTTAACGATTTAAATTTTTGTTTTGAGAAGACGAGGTAGAAATAAGAAAGTTGGTTATATCTTTTTGGAACTTGCAAGTTACTTCAATGAAAAATAAGGGTTGTCTCGTAATAATTCCAAAAGAGCTGTACTTTTCATTCACAAAACCCAGAAGAGTCGAGTACGGTTTAAGGATTTCTCAAAGTTTGATAAAGACTCAGTTGAAACATGACCAACTTATTTCCATTTTTCTTTTCTTTCAACAGTCTGATTGTTGCTTTCGCAGTGAGTGGATAGGAAACAAGGCTCCGTCGCAAAATGGCAGCCGCGGCGCGGGTGACAAAAGAGTTACAAAAGATCAAGGACCATCCCACCAAATTCCCCAACGTTAGCGACAGTTACCAATACAGTGAGCAACTCTTCAAAGACGCCTGCCTGGCCTTACACGGCATCATCCTTCAAGATATTCACTTGGGTAAAAGGGAACTACTCAAAGACCCCAAGTTCTTGCAGGGTCGGCTGTACGACACCTGCACCTACATCCTCTCTCGTCATGAGAAGGACCTCGAGCAGATCATCCTGGAGTACGACCACCCGAAGCTCAAGTACCTCCGCAGCAGGACGGTGGTGCAGCCCAAGGTGGACCTCATGCTGGCCAAGAGGCGACCTGAGCTGGTCTTCGTGTCCGCGCTGATGATCCGCAAGAGCAGCACCGGCTACGAGCCGGACGTGCGGGAACCCCGATCGGACATGGCCCGCCTGGCTTACATGATCCTGGAGCGGTGTTGCCGCTGGGGGTTCTACCTCTGGGTGGGCACCCTGAAGGAGCTGCGGGCCTTCGAGATGGTCTACAGCTTCTCGGAGCTGGTGCAGGCCGAGGGCACCAAGACCAGCCAGATCGTGCTAAAGCGTGACGCAATCCTTCTCCCTCGAGTAGGCAAACCGCTCCCCTCGTCCTTCAGGAAGACGCTGCTCGTCAACCGCGTAGACCCAGAGTTCTGTCTTCGGCTGTATAGGATCGAGCCGGAGATGACCATGTGGGAAGACAAAGAGGAAGACGTCATTCGACTGCAAGACTTCTATAGCAGCTCTAAGCAGCTGCACACCAGCTACGGGACGTGGGGAGTCTTTGAACAGATGCAGAACGTTCGACGGCAAGTGATGAAAGTCCGCGACTATACCGATGTAAGTAAAGCGCGCTTTTACCGCAATTTAATTAGATCATTCAAACCAAACAGGGACAAAACTTAACATACTTGATTACCTTTCGATGCTGTACTCGGCCTTATATTATTTTACTCTATAATTTTTTTAGATTGCATGTGAAGTTCAATCGAAGTTTATTAGAACTGCTAATGCAGCAGAACAAAATCGTCCATGTTGCAACTTTTCTTTAAATTTTAGCAAAAAAAGAAACAGTATTACGCTAGATGTATGTGGAAACCCGAACAAGTTTATCAAAGGAAAAACGTCATAAGACGTTTGCTGTCGTAAATTTTTGTTCTGGGAGTAAACAAACTCACTTTTTCGTTACTACTTTATAAACATATAACAGGCTGCCCTCTACGAACGAGCCCACGCCATGTTGATGATGGCCCGGGTCATGTTCACCGATCTCGTGGTGGTCAAGAAACTAGACGAGCGGGATATCGACGAGACGGATTTCTTGAAGAGAGTGATGGATAAGTTGAAGGCTCGCATCCGGGAGGGTCTCCGGGACAGAGAGAGTAGCTCATCGGAGGGCGATCAGTGAAAAGCAGGGAGATCGGGCGCGGACAGGAGAGAAACAGAATTGGACAAAATTCCTATGTGTTGAGGAAAGAAACGTTTCGTGCATGAGAAACTGCGAATTACAAATCTCCCTTATGTGAGTTGGTAACCAATCCCTGCTTGGCTTTCGGCTGCAAGCAACGGTTGACTGATTTGGGCAGCTGGTTGAGGATCTAAACCACTCTTGTGACGTCACCCTATTCAGAAAAGTGTCAATTATTTGTATTCAGAATGTACAGAAAGCTGCACAGTCTTAAAAAAAACAGACAGATCCAAATTGACTTGATAGACACAGAAAAAGCAGTTGTGACACTGAATTATTTCTACGTCAAACACATTGAGAAACGCTAACAACAGTTAAATACACCGTTTTAAACGTTCTACGAGTTGATGTTCTCTCTGAATATTTAGATTTGACGCACTAACGTTTTCTGTTGTGATTTTCATTTAAAGTGAAACACTCCTTTCATTACACTTATACATTTTTAATGTCTTGTTCGTTTTTATAAGTACTCCTTCCATTTTGTTTAATTTCATCATTTTCTTGAAGTTCATTTTTACGTATCTAAACTGTNAAAATATAATGTTTATTTGTTCTTGTGTTTTTCTTTTTAAATTTCGCATTTAGCCAATTTACGGGAAGAGTTCCATATACGGACGCCAGTAATTATTCCCTTCAATGACCTATAAGCTGTCAAAAAATAAAAACATGTCTAGAAAAGTTCAATTTAGGAAGGAAACAACTAAGTGGTTTACTTACAAAACAGAATTTTTCAGACCAGTCTCATAGGGTTTGTGCACAGGGTGTCAAGCGGCGTCCGTATATGGAACTCTTTCCCAGTATACTTTCAGTTAAACATCAGTTTTAACTCTTCCTCTGTTATTAAACAAATAACTTTACCAACAACAATATTAAGTGCATGCCACGTGTAATTACAAAACAGATTAATTGTTCAGAAGCTCACCTATGATACTTCTCAGACATAATCCAAAGGCAAGTGTATTTCAAACGAAATGATTTCCTACGGTGAACGAGGGATTTCAATCAGCATGTAAACGTGGTCTTCATCTGAAGAGACGGTGAACCGTGGTTCCTGAATTAGCCGTTCGCCAGACTTCCTTGTTAGTGTAAAAAGTCTCCAACTCCACACAGACACGTTGAGAGCATTTGGTAACTCGAATCTAGCGTATTTCTGTAGCTGACATTATACATGTTAAGTCCATTTCGACTTGTGAGGTAATGGAGACAGTATGTGGGTCCCACTATTCACTGATGGTGTCGACCGCAGGTCTCCGTGTGTGACTTAACCATGCAAGTTCCGTTCTGCTATTAAACGTGAATGAAAACTCGTAGTTGTGCACCGGCCAGCTTAGCCGAAGAGTTACTCAAGAGCTTGGGCCAACTTGAAGAGTAGGGCTTTCAATCTGAATATACATGTATGCAAATGTACACAGCTAATAACGCTGAACGACGGATGGAATCCACCTCCTGGCTCAAAGCAGTAAAAACGTTTGTTCTCTTGTACAATATAGGTAGTGGAGGAAGGGACGTTGTTCATATAGTCAGAGAAAAGAATCAAAAGGTGGAGATTCTTGATTCAAATGGCTTAGACGCTTCGCATCCTCGGCTATTAGAATCATATGCAGCAAGGTATGAGACGGAGAGAACCCCTCTGCTTTGTGTTGGTCATTGTCTCGCAGGAATCTGGGGAATTCCTTTCAGACATCTTAAGGGATGTGTTAAGTAACAATAGTCTGGAATGTGTATAGGGATTGGACATGTGGGGGGGGGGTACCCCTCGGTCTCATTTCTTGCTGGGTATAATTAGAATCATGGAACCTCCGCCTTTCCATCGTTTCGTAACAAAACTCGGGAATTCTGTACGTGGGAAGACGGAGGACAGCAAAGTATTGTGCATTTTATTTTTAATGTTTTTTTTTTGGCCTGTTTTCCAGCCAAGGTAGCCTGTATGGATAATTCTAGTCCAAAGAGTAATGCTGCGGCCCGGGTTTCTCCAAACTCCGGGTTGATAGCAGTTCAGGTTTGCTGAATGAAATACTGGTGCAGAATTTTGATTCGTCCAGATGGATTGAGAGTACATGTAATACAATTTATGAGTATGGTAAACCCAGTGGCGTCGCTAGGAATTTACCAGTGGGGGGCACAAGGGGGCACCAGCATTTTTTTGGGGGGGGGGAGCTTTGTTAGCCTTGTTTAATATCCATTCATCCGTTTTTTTTTAGTGGGGGGGGGGCACCTGGGAGCAACGGGAATTTGTGGGCGGGGCATGTGCCCCCATCCCCCCCCC